TAATTATTTTTTTGCTGACACTTATGTAGAAAAATTTATATTTTTCCTGGAAATATTGTGTTTTTGGCGATTAGACATCATGCTTATAACTTTAAAATGATAAAAATAATATTAATCTGAACTATATAGTTTGAGTTAATAATTGTACATTATTTATAAAATCAAATAAATATATTTTAAAGTTAAGTGTTTGTAATAAAACTATTTATTAGTAAAAAGAAAAAAAAAAGGCAGATCAACACCACCAAATGTTAGCGGATGGGATCTGCATGCAGATCTCCTGCTTTTTGTACTAAAAGACAAAAAAAATTGAACTGCATGCAGATCTCCCGCTTGAACTGCTTTTACAAACAGAAAATGGTGAATGGTAAACATAAGGCAGGAGAACTACCTATTGCGGGAGATCTGCTTGATCTGCCTTTGTCCTGCCCCTCCCATTCATAACCTTAGATAAGTGTAGAAGATAACAGACATTCATTATATGTCTAGACGATATAGATTACATAATTTTTCTAGTGTAGGGACTTGGATAATTATGTTCAAAGAGTTTAGTTAACTCACGCAATCTCAATTGATTGGGATACTGTTCCCATCTAGACATAGATGTTGTTATCTTATCTATCCGTATGTTCTACCAGTTTAAACAAAGCTATCAAGTATTTAAACTTCAAGATAGAAGTAGAAACTCAAAAAGGGATAAAGTTGAACTACTCCACTAGGAAATATCTGCATGAAAAATTACTATAATATAAGAATGTTAAAATTATTACATAAAGTCTACAGTCTACACCAATGTGATAAGTTCCTAACAGTTTCAGACAATATAAGAAAATTCATGAGCCGTACAGATATTACTAGATTCTAGACAACTCACTCTGACTGTAGAATCCAACAGTTTAGAATAAGATTGTACTTCACAAAAAAGCACACACTAGATGATAAAAACTCTTTTCTGTAGCTTTTATTTTAAATTATCAATGTTTTTTGGATCACGTAGAAGACGCTCGATGACCCTACGATTATAAGTGGTGGCAATTTTCTCAATCCTACGGTCTATGATTTGTCATGTGGGTAAACCAGAAAGGGACAAAAGTGTGTACCACATCACATAGAAAGAGATTTATTTAAAAATCCAACGGCTCAGACCAGAATCTACACCAATCTCCAGTTCGGTTCTGTCTCCTCCGTGTCCGTTGATCTTACTGCTTCTTCAGCTTTAGCCACGTAAATTTTCTAGAAAAAGTTTTTTCTCAATTTTTGTTTTTGTTTTAAGGATATAGTTTCATGACAGTTATTGTATTAATTTTACTAAATTAATACCTAAAGTCAGTCAACTCTGTTGTATCTTTCAAGTTTCAATAGCTTGTTATGACCATCTCAAAATAGAAAAAAATATTTTTAGTGTAATTCCTCTTAAATAGTGGAATGCTATTTACAGTCAATATAAAGGTTAGTTGATAATACATTTATATAAATATTTTACAGTTATCTCAAACTCAAGATTAGACTTTACATAATGAATAACTATGATAAATCTCGATAGGAAAAAATATCCCACATTGGGAAGTGATGTAGGACCGAAGAATATAGTCGGCTCGATCTTTTTAAAGCGCAAACGACAAAATAATTTTTATGCCAAACAAAATAATTTGCGAGCAATGATTCAACTGTTCAACTTCAATAATAATACTACTTTTCTTAAGCTCCTTTGCTTCTGGGGTCTCTACAAACACACACATGTGCACCCTTAACTTATACGTGTGTCTCTAATGGCATAAAAGAAGAAATTAGATACACTGATTTGTCAAATAGACAATACATCCAAGAAAAGTAATTATAGATAACTACAAAAAAAAAAACACAAATTAAAGGAGGATATTAAATGATTTTCATGTGAATTATTATAAACCTCAAATCCTCGTGACCGACTTCAAACTCACACAAGCAACCTTCAACTTCTCTCATTTTCAGCTCTGTAGCAGCCACTAACTTAAATCATCTCTTCTCTTCTTAGTCTTTTCAATCAAACCACAAGAAAGAAACTCATGGTGACTTATCTCTGCTTCTTATTATCTATTTTCCTTTTTAAAATATTCTATGCAGATTCTTATGTTGCTACCGTTTGAATTTGTCTTATAACCCTCCAGGGACCAATGATGAGAGCAGAAGAAGAAAGTCCACCATGGCTAATCCCATTGCTAAGAGGAAACTACTTTGTCCCATGTTCGATCCACGCTGCTTCCAACAAAAGCGAATGCAACATGTTCTGTCTTGACTGCAATTCTTGTTCCTTTTGCTCTTACTGTTTATCCAATCACAAAAACCATCGTGTTCTTCAGGTTCGTTCTTTATTAAAATCTTTATCTTTCACTTTATTCCATTTTTCACAGAACCATAATAAGAAAATATATGTGTAGATACGAAGATCATCGTACCACAACGTTGTGAGGGTGAATGAGATTCAGAAGTACATAGACATATCATGTGTTCAGACATATATAATCAACAGTGCAAGAATCGTGTTCTTGAATGAACGTCCTCAGCCAAGAATCGGCAAAGGCGTTACCAATACTTGTGAAATATGTTGCAGAAGTCTCCTTGATTCTTTCCGTTTCTGCTCTCTTGGTTGCAAAGTAAGTACAAATCTCTTTTCTCATTCCACTTCAGAAGATATCTTCCTCTGTTTTTGTGTTTGGTTATATATACCATGTTTAGGGCCGTTTTTAGCATGTAAATTTGGAGTTTACATCATCATTATCCTTAGTTTTTCTTAAGTCTGGGATTCTTAGGAGAATATAAAAAAAAATAGCTGAAAATTAAAAACAGTTTCTTATATTACCCTAAGAACCCTCGTTTGAAAAACTAAGAATAATAGATAATGATGCTCTCTTAACGGAACTACTATTTTAAGATTTTTTTTTTTGTTAAAATGTATAAATCATAGTAATTTAATTCTAATCTTAAAATTTAAAAGTTATATTTCAAAATAAAAGTTGAAACTACTAATTTTCAAAGCTATATAATTAAGTTTTAAAAATGTCAGTAAGTATTTTTTTTGAATAGAGCAAACAAATAATTTGATATGTCATTGACCATGTTGATATTGTTTTGGTGATTCAGCTTGGAGGTATGAAGAGAGGAAACCAAAGGCTAACCTTCTCTTTGAAAGGGAAGCATGGGAGAGAGTACCAAGGTGGGGAGGAATCTGATGAGGCAACCACACCAACTAAGATACGCAAGACATGTGCTTTCAACCGTCTGATGAATGGTCTCTCCATCTCAACCATTAATTCAGATTACTTTTCAGGGGAACAATGGTCTTCAAGCTCCGGTGATGAAAGTGGTTTTAATCTATCTCCGGGGACACCACCTATATACAATCACCGAAACTCAAGCAGAAGGAAGGGCGTACCACACCGTGCTCCGTTCTGAACTTAACCAAAACGTAACTAACCATATAGAAAAGTGTTACCCATACATATTACAAGATGCGGTTATAGTATTGTAAATTGTTAGTATTGTATTTCTTTTGAAGTCGTATAGATAGATAGTATAAGAAAAATCATATACATCGCTGTTTCCTTTGTTTATATGTATATAGGAAATATGTTTGTAGTATTTAAGGGATTGAAATATGTTTTTATATAGTTTTATTTGTAAAGGGCCTGTTTGTGAAGACACATGTGTGTTATTGTTGTCACAATAAAATAGCAAAAATACTAATAATTCCAGTACTCTTATGTTCTGATCGTATTCCAAAACATGTGTCTTTTGCCAAAGACCATATCGATCATACAGTAATAGTCCAACACAATTTATATATATACATTCAGTTTGATCACTATTTAGTTGCTAACTAATCAAAGAGTGTTCTGTCACCGAGTCAGATAAATGTATACATTTGATGCGGAATGAATACAACGTACAAGGTGATTTGCTAGTTAAAATGGAAAATAAAAAGACTAACCTTGTCAAATATTTGACTGAATTAAATTGTATAGATTATTAAATATTTTTTACTTTAATAAAGAAGCTAATCTTGTAAAGCAGAAAATTATGAATTTTCCCCAATTAGTATTATTAAAAAAAGTAAAATGACTAAATTACTCAAAACTCTAAATATTTATTATAGTCTTAACTCATAAATACCAAACGCCTAAACTCTATTCACTAAATTCAAATCTAAATATAACATAATTTTATTTAACTTTTAAATAGTTTTCTTTTGATATTTTTTTTCTTGTGCTCTATTTTGAAATAAAATATGTTATAGTAAATAGTGATATCCTATAATATTTTTCCTAATGTAAGAAGTTGTATATTTTCGTCAAAGTGATATTCTTATCATATTTAAAATAGATATATTCTTTTGGAATAGAATACTATAAATAACAGGCAACAATTTACTATAAATATTTGCCTATCTTTTAACTAATTTTTAAAAACTATAAATATTTGTATTTGGTTTTATCTAATCTCATTCTTTGATCTCCAGAATCATGGCTTTCGCCAACAATCAACAATGCACAAAACTCATTTTTTATGCTTTTGTCCTTTATTTGTCAATATCGTCAGTTTCCACAGATGCTACAACGGATAGACCTATCGCAAGAAGTTTGTTACCTTTTCAAAAGAAAACTGTTGTGGTAACAAATTATGCAGTCAACAAAGAAGATATGAATATACATTGCAGCTCTTCAGAAAGTGATTTGGGGTTAAAGCGTATCTCTTATCATCAGTCAATTACTTTCCATTTTAGGGTAAATTGGAAAGGCACTACAAAATTCCGTTGCCATGTTACATGGCGTGGAGGTGGAGACCATTGGTTTACTGTATTCAAACGTGGGGGAGGGAGAGACAAATGTAGTGAATGTGTTTGGCAAGTCTACGGTGATGGTGGATATGGTAATAAACCTCTGATGTTTTATGATCGCGGCGAATATGGCTACCACCTTTATGATTGGGACAACTAATTTCAAAACAAGAAAATACTATTGTATAAATAGATCGACTGATAATAATTTAATTTGGCTAAGATTTGTAACTTAGTATTCATGTTATTATCGTTGTTGTATCATCTAAATAATTTTAATATGATGTAAAATTTATTTGAATTATTGGAAAAAGGAAACTAATTTGTTTCCTATTTTATATATCCAAAAAAATTCCGTATCAATGCAAAAATCAAACAATTTCCTTTAAAATAGATAATAACAAAATTTGATAAATAATGTTTGTTTCTCATCTACGCATATTTTAGTGACTTCATATTCATTGCGTTTTGTATATAGATTACAATGGTTAAGATCAATAAGAAAGCTTATAGCCATATACTCTTTACATTTACCCTAAAATAATATTTGCGGTTACGGTTATAACTTTACAGGAAGCAAATTATTTGCAAATTGCAAGGATGCTTTATGATGTCTAAGAAGACAATCTAATTGATAAAGCCCAATTTAGTAATGGGCCTAAGGTCTAGGGTTGAAACTATTGAGGCCCTTTTCTGTTGCCATGTTAAAAATCGACGTTTATTTTGCTTTGTCTGTTGTGTCACACAGCTTGTTGTTGTCTTTATCTGTGATTAAGAAAAAGCCAAAATATGAAAAAGTACTCACTATGTTTGTTAGTGACTATGCTTGTAGTTGTGCAGACGATATAAAATATTGATTAATGTCGCAATTATAGTATTAACAATATTTGACTATTTAAACAGTTGGTGTTAAAAATTTGCTGGGAACAGTCACTAAATTTCAGGTAGCACGTGTGACGTGTCACGTAGAATTGCTACAATCATGCAAGATTATATTATTACATAATTTTCACTATGTTGGTAGTGAAGTTGGCAAGCTTATATTTGGAGTATAAAGTAATTCGTTAAACAGTTTTTCTAACGAAAGTTGACTTAATGAAGAAGGGGTGTACGAGTAACTAGCGAGGCTACTACTTTCTAAGGTACAAAACACTATCATTAACTGTTCTCTGAGCTCACTGATTATAAATGAAACAAGTTATTGTAAGCTGGCATTTAATTAATGAGTTAAATATATTGTACGATGGACGGTAAAACAAGTGAGTTGTAATCAATTTGTTAACAGAGAAGTTCATTTATTTCTATATCTAACCAAATACTATGGATCTAGAAATGGGGTAGATAAACAAATTAAAAGGGCCACCTCAACGTGCCTGAGTTTCTTTGTAAAATAAATCTCCTTCATATTGAGTTAGCATTCAAGTCGGTGCTAAGGAAAGTCACAAATCCTTTAGCTTGAAAGTGAAAGTCGGTCCACCTATATATTCATTTCATGAAATAAACTCTAGAGAAACTATATGTTACTTAAATCAATTTGTCATGATCGATTTATCCAATTATTAAAGTATTCAGTGGTGCTTCTATCACTGTCTTCAGTCAGATGGCGTATCTCACACACACACACCTATGTGTAGTACATTCATATCTCAGATCTCATCTATCTTTAGATGGCTAAAGAATCCCAGATAGAATATCACACTTAACGAGAATATATAAGCTTTGCATGAAATATTAGTCGCACATGACTCCGTTTGACAAGTACATATAACTTATAACATGAGTTTTTATATAGACATTTATGGGTTGAAAATGTTAGTGATATAACTTATAACATGAGTTTTGAATTTTGAGATATATGTTATACATACAACTTTACTAAATTTTAGAAGATATTAGGGATTATAATACGACGATAATACACTACACACAGAATTAAACGACACCAAAGCGAATATTTCCTCCGTTTCACTTTAGTTGTCATTCTAGGTTTTTTACACAGATTAAATAAACATTTAATTTTACATATTTTCAAGATAAAAACACAATTATCTATACACCTAATCACTTTTCAAGCAATAAAAAATAAAATATTATATAAACCTAATAAGTTTTGCCTCAAAACTTTAAAACGACACTTATTTTGAAATAGATTTTTCTTTCTAGAATGATAAATAATTCGAAACGGAGGAAGTATAAAACATAATTTAATGAGGTGTGAAACCAAAAAAATAATAAGAGAATTGTTTTTCCATGTAATTTATTATTTATGTTTACTAGTAGCATTATACTACAACCGTTTTGAAGACGAAACCAACTTAAAAGAGAATGACATCGATATGACTTTGCCCGTATGAACTGCAGTATAAAAGTCCTAAAGTATCTAACACGTATTAATAGCAGTAATTAATAGATACACACAAATAATAAATAAGAAATAAAATATAAAAAATCGACAGGGTGGCATAATAATTTATGGGGACAGCTCTCGTGGCTATGCATTTATGACCACTAACATGCAATGGCACGGATGCATGCATATTTTAGTCATATACTTGTAGAAGATTCTTCTACAAATTTACATATTTAATACATTCTGCATACATTTTATCATATTCCATTAGATTTGGTTTAATTAGTTCTTTTTTTTTCTGTGAACTTCGAATTTCACATTATAAAAGGGTTTTAAATTTGTTGACAATAAAAGGGTTTTAAATTTTTAACCACCTGCTGACAAAATATGTATTTTAGGTAGACAATTATTAATCTATACTATATAAAAGTTGAGGCTATAAGCCATTGAGGACGTCCACATAGGATTTAAGTCCTCCAATCGTATAATGACACATCATTATATTAGTTTATTATTTTTATAAAATGTCATTGTTTCCAAATTACATTAAAAACGAAATTAATATTCCATATATAACTTAGCTAACAAAATAAATATTAACATTTTACAAATTACTTAAAAATGTTAACTGTTATAAAAAATGGAAAATCAAAATAAAAA